AACCTGGCTTCCTTTCTTTGAAAAAAAAATATGAAAAAGAAAACCAAACCTTGAGAACTAGGGGCTGGGAGTTATGATGCACACTCTAATTCTAGCACCCTGGAAGCTGAGGCAGGAGAATCCTGCGTTCAAGGCCAGCCTATGCCTTATAGCAAAACCCTAACCAAAAACAAAGAAACACCACACACACACACACACACACACACACACACACACACACACACACACCACAAGAACTGGTACAGTTTAGTGGTAGAACACTTACTTAATGAAGTTCTGGAAATTGATTACTTGAAAGTGCCCCTCGTCCCCTACCCTCCTATACCATGGGAAGTGTCTGCTCCTCCCTGTCTGAACACTGTGTTGGTGTGACAATCTCTGAGTGATGTGTGTAAAGGGTTCCAATGTGGACATGCAGAATATTCGTGATTTATAGAACCTCTGTGTACCTGGGGGCTCCAAATCCTGGTGTGATGACTGGAAACTCAGCCTTTGACTTCCTACTCTATCCATGGGAAATTATATTGATTTGATATTGATTTATTTATTGTGGTGTGGATTGAACCCAGGGCCTCACATTTGCTAAACACAAGCTCTACCACTGAGCTACAGCTTCTATTGTCTTTTTTTTTTCAAGCTTATGAGTTGGAAAGATGGCTTAATGCTAAGAGTACGGGGTAACCTTCAACTTCTGATCCCTGCCCCCACCTCCCAAGTGCTAGGATTACAGGCATGCACCACCATGCCCCCAACTGTCAAATCTTTATGCTGCTCTGTTGACACTTCTTGGGCTCTTCCTTCTTGCTGAAAGCCTTGTTGGCCTATTGTGTAGTTTCTGCTTATTTCTATGGACACCTCGTAATCCTCACCTGACCTTCAGCCATTCCCTTAGAACTGCAACCAAGAATTTCACCAACAGAGTCCATCCACTGCTAAGCAGTGCCCAGGGTGTCCCTCAGTCCCTTCAGAACATCACCTGGATCTAAGTGGAAGCTTAGTGTTGGCCCTTGGAAAAGTAGGAAGTTCCCAAAAGGGCAGGGGACACTAACCAACCAGTGCCCCCTCCCATTGCTCATGGGCACCCCTCCATTAGGCCTCTGCCAACTCTGAAAAAAAAAAACAAAAAACCCTATCTGGTGAGGACTAACAGCAAACCTCACCAATGAGGACAAGAAGCAACAGACCTTTATCTAATGAAGCAACTGGCACATGAATTGCAGCAAACAATTCAGCATTCTCTAGGGCCAGATGTGTACATGTGTACATGCCCGGAATCCAAACACTGGGGAGTCAGAGGCAGAATGTTCATGAGTTTGAGTTGGTCTGGGCTACAGAGGGAATTCTAGGCCAGTCTGAGCTACACTCAACAAACAAACACATAAAGGCATTTTCTTTTTTTTAATATTTTATTTATTATTTTTGATTTTATGTGTATGCGAGTATTGCCTGCATGTAGGTAAGCGCACCCGTGTCATGCAATGCCCTCGGAGGACAGAGAGGCCGTCAGATCCCCTGGAACTGGAGTTACCGACAGTTGTCAGCTGCCATATGGGATTCGAATCTGGGTCTTCTGCAAGAACAACCAGTATTCTTAACAGCTGAGCCATCTCTCCAGCCCATAAAGGCATTTTCTTATAAAAGCTAATATGCAGAATTATGGCAGCCTACACTTAAAATCCGTATCTTGAGGCCAACAAGATAGCTAATCAGGTAAAGGAGCTTACCACCTAGCCTCATGACCTGAGTTTAATCCCCAGAACCCATATAGTAGAACGAGAGAGCCCTGCCCCACCTCAGTTGTCCTCCAATCTCCACATGTGCACCACGGCACATGGTGTATACACACACACACACACACACACACACACACACACACACACAAAAGTCATTTTAAAGAATCCATACTTTGTACATATGTTCCCAAAAGATACATATAAATTATACTCCTAGGGGGTTGGAGAGATGATTCAGTGGTGAAGAGCACTTAATCCGCTTCCAGAAGATCCCAGTTTGATTCCCAGCATGCTGGGTAGCTAACAATTGCCTATGACTCCAGCTCCAGGTGATCTACTGCCTATAGATAGCCTCCAGGGGCCCTGCACGCATGTGCACAAACCCAGACACATACACGTACACGTAATTAAGAATAATAAAGATAAATCTTTAAAAAAGAATGCTTGTAGAATAACATTCTTATCAGGGAAAAACTGTCAACAGTTTTTCTGAGTACAGACAAAAGAACGTGCATGTGGCTGCAAACTCGGGCAGTGGAAGCCACCCAGCAAAGGGAAAACAAGTGGCAAATGGGGGAGTCTTCCATAAACACTGTGAGTAGAAAGCCAAAGAATTCTATAGGTTGGGGTTGGAAAGATGGCTCAGCGGTTAGGAACACTGGCTGCTCTTGCAGAGGACCAGAGTTTGGTTAGTAACAACCATCCGTAACTCCAGGTCCAGGGGATCCAACACCCTCTTCTGACCTCCAAGGGCACTGCACTACACTGGTGCACTTACATACATACAGGCAATACACTCATACACATGAAATAAAATAATAAAATATTTAAATAAAAAGAATTCTGTAGGCTGCCAAGATGACTGACAGCTGGGTGCTTCTGAACTGCCTGAGGAGGGGAAACTGGTTGCCAAGGGAGTCAACCCT